AAAGCCCATATCTATACCTCTAAAAGTCAAGTAGTTGGCGCCAAATCTATCTATCTGTCTGTTTGTTTTTATGTAAACCAGACACTCAGTTTGAAGGATTTTTTTTTATGAAAGCTGCGACTCTTTGTTGCAGGCAGCACATGAGTCGAAAGCGGACGGATCTGACAAACACATTATATAGCTGTTAGAGGCAAGATCGGTCGGGCATAAAGATATTGTATGTATATTGTATTGTATCCCTTTCATAATATCTCGACCGAATTCAGCTTTTAATAGCTTAACTATGTTCGTTACATATAAGCTAAACTTTGTCGGAGTCATGCTATATTATCATAAAGACCTAAAGGAAGAAACGCTCGAAATATGAGTTCTTGTCTCCAAAATTTAAATGTTTTCTGCCATTACCAGCTTCACAGTTCCTCTTGCATATCTTTAAGAACATATCAAATCGGACTACCCAGTCCAATGTGTACGAGAGTATTTAAGCTGCGTCGTGCTGAAGAAGGCCGCGTTTTCTAGTTTTTTCCAAATATTTATATATACATTTATCTATATGTATGTATATACCATATATGTCTATATATTTTTTGGTATTGGGAGCATACAGCTAAAGAGCGGTCAAGCAAATGCAATAAACTCCGAACAAGTTTATTAAATTTACAGTTATGTGTGCAATGCATTGTTGTTGTTGTTGTTGTTGTTATTGGAGCTTAAAGTGCCGCCGGGTAAAAGCTGTTAAGTGTGAATGAAAATGCAATTGAAAAGTTGAGACAAAGCAATCGAGAATAAAGCAATTGAAAAGCGAGTCACTGGCTCGACTCTGACTGAAGACGGCATACGGCATACGGCCGATGGAAGAGGGAAGCCGGCAGCGGGAAGGAAGAGCAGGTGGGGGGTTGGGGGGGGTGTTGGGGTCCAACAATTTCATAGATAGTTTTTGGCTTGAGCTTCAGCTGAAAAGTGGGCAACACAAATCGAATTTCAACAGAATTAAAACTTTTAGCGCTGTGTCTTGAATTTAGAGTGCCGTTTGACACTCTTTGTATGCGTGTGTGTGTGTGCTCGTGTGTGTGTGTGTGGTCGTGTGTGTGTCAAGCTGAGATAAAGCATCTGACATATTTAGATTTAATTTAAAAGATAGTTACTGCAGCTTATTGGACTGTCACAGTTCAGCAGCTCAAAAGTAGGCTACATAAATTAAAGAAGTACTTTTGTACAATACATGCATACACAAAGTGTGTGTGTGTGTGTGTGTGTGTAAGCACACACTCATGAATTCGTTAGTTTCTCGTGGGAATCCTCAAATATTAGAGAGTGCTCAATAGACACTGATGTCGCGCGGAAGATACATTTGCGATAGAAGAAAAAATACATAAGAGATGGTGGAAAACCTTTTGTACTAAGGACAAGCTATCTTCTGGGAACCTTTAAAGGAGATCATATAAACCTTGTTGTTTCGTATTTATTTTCGCACTTCTCCAGTAAAATTAGTCCAATATTTAAAAGGATATTTGAGTGTGATTAACCCCACATAACATATATGTACATAGGTACCTTTTGGTATTCAAAAACTGAAAATCGGAAAAATGTCATTTATAGATTTCGTTAAGCCAAACGCAGTTTAATAAGCTGACAAGTTTTGTAAGCTTGATGATTTGATTATGATTATGACTATAAATAAGCACATGGAAAGGGTATTAAAATGTCGTTCATATCAACCGGCTGCGCTACTAATTTAGATAACACTGGGTGCATACTTTTGCATAATGCAAAATGATGTTTATAAATGGGCTGTGCTCAGATGTCTGTCAAATGATAACATAAAATGAAAATCAACAGAAACCGAAAACTTTAAACATTATTCAGTTATTCATAAGTTTGGCGCATTTTGTTGCCATTGCACAAACGATAAATTGACAAAACCGAACAATGAGTGCAATTTGTTGTTGCCTTTAACCGCTGCCGTTGCGATTTCCACTTCAGAGACGACAACGCCGGCGCCAGCGCCAGCTACTACGTAGAATCATTTCTAAATGGAAATTTGCTGCGAGAACACGTTGTTTTCCCTTTTTGCATTTTCATTTTTGTTTTTACTCTTTTTTTTCTTCTGACTCGTATGCAGAGCAAACAGCAACGAGTTGGCGCGGACATCGTTTGGCTATGATATATGTGAGGGCCCGTGAATGGTTGTTGTCTCTGCGTTTGTGTGCGTGTGTGTGTGTGTGTATGTGTGTGTTTTAGCAGTGGGACATATGTAGGATAACAAATCAATTTTAGTGCCGGACAATCGAACTAGGAAAAACGCTCAGCGCAGTTACCTCAACGCTAGCTTCCATCCTGTTGGGGCATATTACTTCCGCTGAGCCAAGCATGGGGCGAGATGTCCCAAAAAGTGAAATACTCTGCAACCTAGCTAGACAAAACGAGCATCTACATGCCTCGATTTGTCCAACTGGCTGTCTGAAAATCGATAATTATCGATATGCGAAATATATTATAAGCCTGAATATAAATGTTGCAAATTTCAAGTCTCTAGCTCTCGTAGTGCAAACAGATAGTCGCAGCTAAATCGACTCAGCGCATGCAAACCAAACCATTTCTAGAAAAAGAGCTGGTTCAACTTTTGCTGTGATTCATTTTTGAACAAAAATTTGGCTATAGATGCGATTTATATAAATGCAGATTGGAATTCATTGCGCCACCCATTTTTGTAGCCTTAAAATTGTTGGACAGATGTGCAAGCTCACGTATTGTGCAACGGCTGCGATTCACATCAGAAATCCCTAGACGCCGCTCCCAACTCCAATTGCGATAAAAATCCAAAAAAAAAAAAGAAAAAAAGGTGCGAAGCCGAATTCATCAACGCAGCAAAGCAATGGACATCAGCTGCAGTTACCCCATTCAGCTCCAGCTCCAGCTCCAGCTCCTGCTCCTGCTCCAAATTGAGCTCTGGACCCGACTCTAGCCCCTGCTCCAGTCGCAGATCTAGTCCTGGTTTATCTCAATAAACTCGTCGGTCTCATGCGATGCGAATGGCGAAACGCATCGAATCGCTGTCACTTGTGATTGTAATCGAGTGTTTCCACCGTCGCTTTTTTGCACTCCATGTAACAGCCCTTCGGCAACTTGGCAAATGCCCCTCAGCTCTATATTCCTGCTGTCAAACAGTTTGATATACTTTGCAAACTACGTTCGCCCGATATAGCTGCTGCTGCTGCTGTGTGTGTGTGTGTGTGTGTGTGTGTGTGTTTGCCAATTGGATTTGACATTTTATTGGGTTTTCTTTCTCGTTACTGCCGCTCCACTGACTGGGGCCCAACCCACAGCAAGTCAGACGAGACGCTGTTGTAGTTGTAATTGATGTTCGGTTGCCTGGCCAAGAGTCCTTTGGTAACATAAATCTAATGACCTGGTCCGTGTACAGCTGTACAGGATTTGAGTGCGGTTCGAAGCAGAGCAGATAACATGGCTGAAAGATTGAATTCGATTCCTTTGCCTTGCGTCCGGCTCTGCTGCTCTTCTTTTTTTGTTTTTTTTTTTTTGTTTTTTGGTAATTAGTGCAGAGGCAACTTGATTATCGCTCCATGTACTACAAATTCTCCCGTTACGACCGCTTCTGACCATTCCACTCAACGCGTAACTGTAAACGTGCTCTAGTTGGTATCATTCATTTTCGGACTTGTCAGTAAATAGCAAAAAGCCAGAGTCAAATAACAGTCGAGAGCGCTCGGAATGCAGGCAAGAGGCCTTGAATTTATCAGATTAACTCCGTTTCCTTTTTTCTTATTTTTTACGGACTGAGACATTCAACAAACTAACGAAACTTAAAACTTCAACAATTTGTCGCCAGCTCTGTGCCTCTAGGATATCCCCTTGACGGAGAGGCAAATTTATTGTGGAGTCGAAGTTGATTTATTAAATATTTAAACAACATCATTATCTCTTGATGTTCTTCTTCACAAACATGACAAACTTTCGGCCAACAGAACAATTTGTCGCTGATTCGAACCAGCTTCCTGCTTTTTCGGTCGGTTCGTGCATCTGGTTTTGAACATTCGTCGAGAGGAAATTTGTTTTGCAGACATTTCCTATTTTATACGAAATTGATCCATTTAAAATTTCAACAAATATATTATCCTTTAAAATTCTTATTTGCGTCTTTATTTTAGACTACATCAGACCAGCACAAACTTTAGACTAAAAGAGCAACTTGTCGTTGGCTCGAACCAGGTTTTTTGCTTGATAGGGTTCCGCTTGGAGACATTTTTATACCCTGAACCCATTAAAAATGGCTAAAAAGGGTATAATGTATTTGTGCAAATGTATTTAACAGGCAGAAGGAAGCATCTCCGACCACATAAAGTATATATTGATCAGCATCAACAGCCGAGTCGATCTAGCCATGTCCGTCTGTCTGTCGTTCTTCCGTCCGTCTGTCCGTATGTATGAACGCAAGGATCTCAGAACCTATAAGAGCTAAAGACTTACAATTTTAGCTGTAGGTCCTCCTAGTGCCCGCGCAGATCAGTTTTTTCCGATATTCGATAACTTGCCCCGTTTCCAAGTAATCGATAAAAATCGATATCGAAATCCTGTTTTTTGAGCAATTTTGGTAAATAATAAGTGCTAGAGTCACCAAACTTGACATGTAGCTTCTAGAATAGTATATATATATCAAGTATCTTTAATTTTATACCTATTACCTGTTGGAAGAAGAGGGTTCAGGGTATCTCCTGGTCAGTAGCTCCCGACTAGAACCTCTTACATGTTTATTTTACATTTTACCAGTTCTTAAAATTTTTGGAGATAAACAAAATAGGTGCATCAGAAAATGATAATGAAATTTCTTTAATTTTAATTGATTTTAAACAAGAGTAAAATCTTTTTATAATCTTGTTTATATTTATTTAAATAGCTCTGAGCCATGCAAATGCCAAGGAGTAAAGAGTTACAAAAAATAAGAGAAAATATGTAAAGCATTTTATTAATTGCATTTGCAGGTCTTTCGGATACGAAGCTACATGAGGTCTATTTGGATGACAAGGAGATCAAGCTGAGCTGGATGGTGGACTGGTACAAGCAGGAGGTGCTCTTCCATTTGCAGAATGCATTCAATGAGCAGCATCGTTGGTTCTATTTGGGCTTCTCGAAACGTGGCGATTTAGCCGATGCGGATATTTGTTTCTTTGAGAATCAGAACGGTTTCTTCAATGTGGTCACCGACACGTACACCAGCCCCGATGGCCATTGGGTGCGCAAGGACTACCAGCAGGACTGCGAGGTCTTCAAAATGGATGAGTTTACGCTGGCCTTCAAGCGCAAGTTTGATACCTGCGATCCGCTCGATCTGCGACTACATGTAAGCGGCTGTTTTTTAATTGTTTTATGCATCCGATGTTAATCCTGCTAACGTGCTGCAGGAGGGCACCATGTATGTGGTCTGGGCACGCGGTGAATCGGAGCTCGCCTTAGAGGATCATCAGTTTGCGCTGCCCAATGTGAGTGCACCACATGAGGCGGGTCTCAAGATGCTCCAGCTGCTGCGCGCCGACAAGATACTCATACCCGAAACGTAAGTGCTTCAGGGCTTCGCCTTTCTATGGGTCTTACGATCTTAATTATTCCCCGCGCCCAACTTAGCGATTTGGAGCACATTGAAATCACACTGGAAAAGGCGCCGATTCCCAAGCAGGAGACCACCTACTGGTGCCATGTGCAGCGTTTGGATGACATCATCAAGAATCGTTTGCATATTGTACAATTCGAGCCGATTATCAAGACGCCCGGCATTATACATCACATGGAGGTGTTCCACTGCGAAACGGATGCACACGTCGAGATTCCACTGTACAATGGCGACTGCGAACAGCTGCCGTTGGAGGCCAAGGTCTGCTCGAAGGTTATGTCACTGTGGGCCATGGGTGCCAGCACTTTTACATATCCACCAGAGGCTGGCCTGCCAGTCGGTGGACCCGATTTTAATCCCTACGTTCGACTCGAGGTGCACTTCAATAATCCGGAGCTGCAGGCGGGTGAGTAAAGTTTCAGTTGATATTGGGCTAAAATTTCGCGTTTACGATTTACGAATTGAGCTTTCTATTTACCATCTGGAAGATGGCATTGCCGATACCATAGAGTATCATACTCTTGATAGGGATGACGAGCTAGTCGATCTAGTTATGTTTGTCCGTGAATTTCAGACAGAATTACTCAAGTTGGAGAAAGATATACCTATTCGTATATCACAAGCAGCACGAATTTATAATTTATTGTCGATATATCTTCCCATTTCAATAACATAGATAAATATATATTATAGAAATGGGAGGAGATGTGAACAAAAAGTGATTAATTTGCTTTTGAGACTTGGGTTTTTAAGCAAAACTCAAAAAGTATTAGAGCTTGATAGAGCCAACTCTCGTATAGTGTATATAGACTAAGAATATTTCACTTTGTAGACACCTTCACCTATTCATGGCAAAACTCTAAAACTGTAACAGCTATAACATTGCGCTTAAGTATTTCATGGGACTTGGCTATCATGATTATGGCCTGAAAATTGCATACAAATCGGACTATAAACACCGAAGTTATTCAAGAACACGTTTTTCAGAGTGAGAAGCAAAGTGAAGAAGCACAGATGCCTAAACTGCGTGTGTGTGGCTGTGTGGAAGCTGGAATGCTTGTAAATGTAGCTAGGCACAGGGTGCAGGGTATCTCGCAGTCGGGCACTCCCGACTAGAGCACAATTTATATTTATCTTATCAATGTTTCTTTCAAATGTTTAACACATTCGTTATTTTAGTAAGATAAAATACGATATGACAATTGCATTTTTCATGCCCAAAACACTTTTTAACAAACATTGTTATTACCGGAACCAAAAAGAATTTTTGAAATCGCAAACCTTATTCCCATGTCAGACATGCTTGGAGATTTTAATAGTTAATTGGGCTTCCTGCGGGGCTCATGATAATAGTTGCTGTGCACAGCTGAGCACAGTTCCTTACAAAAGGCTTCTGTTTTTTGCTGGTTTGTTTACCAACACTGCTTTGTTGTCTCCGAAAAGGAAAGGGGCGAAAATTTGGTCACATTGACAAAGGGAATGTACCCGGGGTAATTCGATTTTGATGATTGTTGAGCTGCTTTTGTGTGACTCGTTTCACAACCTTTGGCCGCCCCCTTTTCGGTGGCCCGCACTCAAGTGGCTCAGTGTACAAAAATGCACATATGTATACAGATATATGTACATATATTTATATATGTATATATACACACATTGGGGTGATTTCATTAAAACTTTTGTATAAATAACAGCAAGAGCGAGTGCTGTGACTGCGACAAACAGGAGCAAAATGTCATTATTGCTGCTTGAAGTGTCCTTGTGTCCCTTATATCCTTGTCGATGGCATCGTCTTGCGCATTACATGGCCACACGAGTGTGGGCATGGCTAAAGCATACCGACTGCACCACTCAGCTCAACGTCTGTAACTGAGCACGGGCTAGAGATGGGTGGATTTAAATGGCATGACAGGAAACGCAAACAATTCATATGACTTGAACACTTTTATTTTTGTGCAAGTGTTTTAAATACACGTAAGACGTAATTCCACTTTGCTGAGCGGAATTAGGTGTTCCGTGTGAAATGGGAAAATTTAATCGAAAATAAAGCAAAGATTTTGTATCCTGATTATTTAACTGCATTCCTCGGAATTTATTTTAAAACGTAATCCACAGTTTGCGGAAAATCCACTTTGCTGAGCGGAATTAGGTGTTTAGAGTGGAATAGGAAAATTTCAATGAAAATAAAGCTAAGATTTTGTAGCCTGATTATTTTACTGCATTCCTCGAAATTTATTTTAAAACGTAATCCACAGTTTTCAAAAATTTCACCTTGCTGGGTGAAATTGGGTGTTCAGTGTGGATTGAAGTGTGATTGCAAAAAACTTTTGTTATTTTCTGTTAATTTCCTAAAAAGAATAAATTACCCATAATAAGAATAATGACAAAAAATTACTTGATTGTTTTCCCATATTCCTTGAAAATCCGTGAAACACGAACACGCACGAAATTTGGACATTTTTTATGTAACAAGAACACGTCGTGTTGAGTCGAGCTCTAGTGTGTGCCGTACACACACACACACACACATTTTATTCACTTTCGAACCACCCCCCTTTCACCCTCCCCGCCCCACTCAATTGTCCAGCAATTGCATTAATATGAATCATACGACCTGCAGGTTTGGTGGACAGCTCTGGATTTCGCATCAAATTATCAAAGACACTGCGGCAATACGATGCCGGCGTCATGGAACTGGGTCTGGAGTATACCGACAAAATGGCCATACCGCCTGGCCAGACGGCGTTCCCGCTGAGTGGCTACTGTGTGGCCGACTGTACACGGGCCGCACTGCCGCGGACGGGCATCATCATCTTTGGATCGCAGCTGCATACGCATTTGCGAGGCGTTCGCATCCTAACACGACACTTTCGCGGCGAACAGGAGCTGCGCGAGGTGAATCGCGATGATTACTATTCGCATCATTTCCAGGAGATACGCACACTGCACTACAAGCCGCGTGTGCTGCCGGTAAGGATGCGTGACTGAGCATTTGCTTAATCCAGATGGGCTACATATGTATGTTCGCCTCCTCCCACCCTCTCTCTCCCTCTTCCTCTTCCTCTTCCTCTCTCCATGCAGGGCGACGCTCTGGTCACAACGTGCTATTATAATACGCTTGCCGATACGAACGCCACGCTGGGCGGCTTTTCCATTAGCGATGAGATGTGCGTCAACTATATACACTACTATCCGGCGACCAAGCTGGAGGTGTGCAAGAGTTCCGTTTCGGAGGAGACGCTCGAGGATTACTTTATCTATATGAAGCGGTAAGCGGTTGAGGCGGCGGCCACTGCGTGGGCGTCGTTAATGTTTTACGTTACTTTTCAATCTACATTTTGCGCCAGTTGGTATTTCTTGTGCTTGTGCACCCAAGCCCTCTCCCCCCCCCCCTCTCGTTAGCCTGGCTGTGCCATCAAAGGCAAAACTTTGGCATTCTGGCGTTTGTTGTGGCTCCGGTTTGCGGCTTGCGGCACCCTAAGCGTATTCATAACGGAAATGTCTACAGCTTCCTGCCAGCAGCAAATGCTACGCCAAGGTGCACGCTAATTGCCGGCGTTAATGGGCACACCAGAGAACACAAGAGAACCAGAGAACCAACTCCCCAAGTGCTTGAAACGCGTCGCATTGTTTGGTGTTTGGAGGGCAACGTTAGAAGAATGAAAGTAGAAATTTGTACATTAGATTAGAGACTTGTGTGCTTTTCGACAGCGCCTGAGCGTTTGCGCTCCAAATTTACAAAAAGGGCCAAAAAGTGGGCTTAAAGGTTTGCGCCAGACAAAAGGCGGCTGATTGAATGAGCCACCTACAAATAAAAACGAAAAACTTATGAAAATTTACGGGCTGTTCAGCAAAGCAAAAGGTAAAATCCGCATTATTGCAAACTTGAAGGGACCGTAAAAAAAGCCTAGCTAACAAAATGTAGACATCTAAAGCTCTTTTGAACTAGTTAAAGTCAGCTTTATGTAAGGCCAAGAAGCTAACAAATACAATTCCAAAATTTATGATGCCAAAACAAAGTGTAAAAAGTTTCGATGTCTCATGCTAAAAACAAAAAACAGAGTGGAAGTGAGAGAGGGAGAGAGAGAGAGAGCGCGTTTTGTTTAATGTTCTATTCCATTTCATTTCATGTTGTAAAATTGTATTATTTTTCTCAGAGTTTCGTTCCAGCATTCCATATAATATAATTTAATTATGCTTGGAGTTTGCAAAAGTGTTATGTTTCATTTCATCATTCCAACTGCAAAAGCGTAATGTTTCATTTCATCATTCCAACCATTTCATTTGCGTCATTTTGCATTGGAATTGCTTTCCAGCATTACAGAATATGAATATGAATAAGCATGTTTTTTTGTTCCATTCCTACACTTGTATTTTATTTGTTTGTTTAAACTTTTCATATTTTAATTTCCTTACACTTTTGCGTAGCTGAAACATATCTCAAAACGCTTTAAAGTCAGTAGATTGATATCGTTTGTCTCAATTCCATATTAAAATTGAATAGCGAATGTAAAATCTTTGTTTCGTTTAAGTGTTCCATTCCATTATTAAAGCTTAAGTTTTAGTGTGGTGCAAGAGAGTAATAACTAGATGGGAATTGAATATATACAGAAGAGTAAAAGTGTTTATCTGCAATTAATCGCCAATATCGCAATTTCAACACTGGCAGCGACTGGCAAATTAGCAAATTCAGTAAATCGATACAGTTTTCAACACTGATTTAAGGCTTGACCGCGAATGGAATAGGGCAAATGGGAACGTGGGAGCGTGGGAGATGGGAACGGGAAATTAACTCATTAAAATGGCTTTGATGGTCGCCCATACAAAGCATCGACAATTTGCTAACCGAAGGCAATTACATGACTTTATCCATCTTTTGCGTACAGCAAGGAGCATCAGCATGGCATACACTTGAACGGGGCACGTTCTGCGAATTATCGGACTATCGAATGGACAAAGCCGCACGTTGACCAATTGTATACGATGTACATCCAGGAGCCGCTTAGCATGCAATGCAACAGATCCGATGGCCAGCGTTTCGATGGACACAACTGGGAGGGTGTAGCGCCGACGCCAGTCCAAATCAAAATTCCCATCCATCGGAAATTGTGCCCCAACTACAATCCGCTGTGGCTGAAGCCGCTGGAGAAGGGTGAATGCGATTTGCTTGGCGAGTGCATCTACTAGGCGAGTTATGCAAGGATACGAAATGCATTTTGTTTTTTTTTTTGTTTTGTTTCTTGTATTCGATTGCATTTTCGTCGGGGCGGGACAGAAAGACAGCACACACACACACACACACACATACTGAGAGACGGCGTGGGATTACAAATGGCATGCTTTTGGCAAAGGGCTTGTCAGGTCCTCTCCATTTCTTGTTTCGATTTGTTTTGTTTTGTTTTGTTTTTCTGAGGACTTATATAGTATATAATTGTCATCATCAGCATCAACATCAACGTACACATTATTGTGAACTGAAATGGCAGAGACAAAAGGTCAGCTGGCAGGGTTGGGGCTCAAAAACTTTCTTTAAATAACTAATGAATTGTTGGCCTTTGAAATGTACCGACGATTCTGCAGAACAACTGGCGGCCACACGCTTTTCACAGCGGCCCAGCTTAAAGCGGCAAATGACAGAAAAGAAAATGTAAAAGAAATGTGGAAAAACCCGTAAGGAAAATAAATGAGAAACAGCTATCAAAGTAGGAAGGGGGGGGGGGGGGGGTTACCCAGCCAACAGCCCCCCCCCGGGGCCAGGGACGGTGCCGGTGCGGGACAGGGGCAATAAGTAGCAGCATCAGCGGCAACTGAAACAGTTTTCAATGCGAGCCAACGGCACTGTTTATACAATATAAATGAGCCATCTTTGAGTCTGTCGAAATGAGTGTAAGATAAAAAGGATGCCCACAGAGTACGAACCAACCTATCAACCTATCAACCCATCGACCTACACAGCAAGGTAACCGAGTGGCCGAGTGTTTATTGCCATTTCGCATTTTTGGACAGCTGACAGCCAGGCAAATGTCCAAATCGCTTGTCACAAACTATCGATAGTTGCTTGTCTTAAATAAATCAAATTTTGTTTGCTTCAAGACGCTGGAACTGGCTCAAACCGGTCCCCTTAGAAAGAAGTACAAGTACTATGGGTACACGAACTTCAAGAAATTAACTAATGAATAGGGGTGCGGATGATAATGAGTAGAAATAAGTATAAGTGCAGATGATCATGAGTAGAAATGAGTATAAGATGAGAATGCGTATAAAGAATGTAGAAATTCGAAGACATAAGCAAAAACTACTCATAATTATGTATAGAAATGAGTATGAGTGCATTTGAGTATGAGTAAAAATGAGTATTAGATCGGATAAGTATGAGTAGAAATGAGATTAAGATCAGATGAGCAAGAGTGTGGATAAGTACCCCAAGAATGAGGGAAAAAATGAAGAAATTCATTGATATATGCAAAAAGGGACTCACATAGGACTCGTATAGAAATGAGTATAAGTACATATGAGTAAGAGTAGAAATGAGTATGGGTACATAGGAGTATGAGTAGAAATGAGTATAAGATCAGGTGAGTATGAGTATAGATAAGGACGAAAAGAATACAAAGAAGAAAGGAATAAATTCATAGATTTATGCAAAAAGTACTCAAAAGGATTTATAAAAATGGGTATGAGTTCAGATGAGTGTGTATAGAATTGAGTATAAGATCAGATGAGTACGAGAATAAATGAGTATAAGATCAGTTGAGAATGAGTACTACTTTAATGAAATGAAAGAAAATGATGTCAGTTGTACGAAATGCAAGAACATAAAAGCATACGAAAATTCTATAGCACCACATTTTGAACTATGTCTCACTCAAATTAGCAAGAAAAAATCTTTTCCATAGGCATAATAATAATTATTTGTTATAATTGTTGCTTTTGTATTAGTATATATAGGATATAGTTAGAAGCTACCAGCCAAACATTTTTTTTTTTATTGAATTGGCCTTTGGCTAAGACAAACCCAAATCCATGCACTTGGCTTTGAACCCGTAACCTCGTACCAAGAACGGCTCTTAAGCTAACAAATTCGAATACCTTTTTAGGAGCCATTTCTAGATTAAATGTTTAAGACTTAAAGAAGCATTCTATCGATGGTTTTGAGTACTTTTGAGTACCCCACAGCACTTTGAATGAGTACATTATGTATTATCCCTTCTGTTACTTAACTCAGTAAAGGTTTACAAAAGGTTTTGATATAAATAAATACTTTGAGCTTACCCTATTTGAACTTATTATCCAATAATCTTTCCGTTGTTGTTGATGTTGTTGATGATCAGTTGAGAGTTTTGGGTATGCTAAAGATTTTGCATAGTTTTACAAGGATTTATATACAAAACCAAAGAAGACAGAAACATTTGGACGGACACAAAATACATATGCACAAAACATGTAATGGATAATTTTAAGTGTAGCTACATATATATTAAGATGTGATAATTGTTCTACAGCTAAACAAAAAACAAACTATGTATGTAGATGGAAATTTATATAGAAAAACGCAAAAACCCAAAACAAAAAAAAATATAAGAAAAAAATGTAAAAAAATACAAAAAAAAAAAAAAATAGACAACAAAAAATATTATATATATATACATATAAAATCAAATATATACAAGAGCCTTCACGCTGAACAAAAATCGAAAAAGTATCTAATAAAAAATGACCACCATACCAGTATGAAGCAAAAATTGGTTTTAATTCAACGAGAGAAAACTACAAAGAGTTTGTTAAGGGATACATTTGGGATTTATGTATTTTCATTATTCAAGGTTTTCCGTACTCATATTAAGTACTGATAACAGTTCTGAAAAGTGTTTGATTTCTATTCTCACTATTGTTCTTACGGCTTGATGATTATATTTATAATCATATATGATCGCCTTAAGTCGATACAGGTTTTCAACTACAGTAAGGGGGCAGGACTCCTTCTACCTCATGTTTCGCTCATACCTGATGGGGCGACAGTTCCAGGTGAATGTGAGGGCAGAGGTAAAAACACAATCATCCCATCGTCCATTGTCTATTTGATAAAGCGCGGCCGATTCTGGGCAAAAGAAATAAAAGCATAAAGAAAATGATGATATTTGCAAAATAAATTTGCCGTGTTTAAGCGCTAATTGGTGCGCTCAGCAGTTAAATATTATGCAAAACATTGCATTTTTCACCTGCCCATTTACAATTCGATTAGGAAATTTAATAAATATTTCGTCTTCTGTATAAACGGGCGCTCGAACTCTAGCGAACCCAGCGAAGCGTCAATGTAAAATGTTGGCCATTGAAATCGGCTATTGATAGTAGTTTGTTTTACTTGTATTGGATGATACTTTGTTGTTGCGCATCGATTTGGCAAGCCTCTTGATTGCCTGATGGCTCGTGGACTGGAGTGCTGACTCTGCTGGCCTGGTCTGTCCTGGCCTGGTCTGTCCTGGCCTGGTCTGTCCTGGCCTGGCCTGGCCTGGACGCATATTTTAGCCTTCGACGCGTTGACTGAGCGGCATTTTAATTGATTTTCTGTTTTGTGCGACCAAGAGGACGTGCGTTTGCCGTTATGAAAGTATTAAAGCGGTTGCAATCCAATTAAAAGTTTTTAACGAAATCATGCAACAACAAACTCCCCCGCACACACACACACACACAAACACACACGCACACACACAAATATTTTAATATTCATTGGCGCGCATCACACAAAAAACGAAAGAATAAAAAATGATATGAGCCTGTGTTTCTTCTTTCTCTTTTTTTTTTTTGTGCACTTTTTTAGAGGGTATTATAAATTTGTAACAATATGTGTAACGCCTGGAAGGAGACATCTCGCAGTCCGTAAAGTGTTTATATTCTAGATCAGCGTCAATAGCCGATTTACTGTCTGTCCGTCTGTCTGTTCTTATGGGTTTTTCGTCTTGAAACTTTGCATAGGTCCGACTTTCTGTTGCAGCCAGTGCATATTTTGTCAGAACCGGCCGGATCGGACCACTATATAATATAGCTTGTGAACAAAAACTAGGAACGATCGATTTTTAAAGAGATCTTGACCAAACTCGGCATAAGTTTCACCATGCTCCCTACATATATGCAGAATATTGTCAACATCGGATCATATAGCTGCCATAGGATCGATCGATCGAAAATTGGGTTCTTGCATGGCAAAATGTTCTGTTTTCCAAGATATTTTCATCAAGCTCAGCATAAACGACCTTCCCTAATCACACATATCCGTAAAATCGTAAGGCAAATTTCTACAAGAGTATTAAATCTTCGGCGAGGATATCTTTACATTATCGTTGTTTTTATACTCTTGTAGAGGGTATTATAATTTTGTCATGAAATCTGTGACGAAGGTGACCAGCCCATAGAGTATTTCTATGCTGTATGTACAGTTGAAGAATATCAGTCGAGATTTGAGTTCTTCCATGAAAACTTTTCTGTTCACCAATCCCAGCATCGCAAGGCTTCACTATTGTTTTATCATGACTGTGAGACCCCATCGAATCGGCCTGCCTTATCATATGGCTACCAACGGAAGAATCGATCGGAAATAAAGCTTTGGTATAAGAGCACAGCGAAGCCGAATTTGGGCCGGTAAGGGTATTTATTAGCCGTGCTTGCCGTTTCTTTTTTAACATTTCAACCCCCAAACTAAATTCGAATCTGTGCGCGGCTATTACAAACGCCAGATGCGTTTTTTATATGCACATTTCATCATCGGCATGCATTTTAAGTGGCCCTGGTCCATCACTAACAAAAAAAAAGAAACCACAGAGTGGAGTCTCTTTAGTATTTTATGGCAGGATTTTTAATGGAAGCGGCCTCGTAATACTCGCAGCCCTTAACATAACTGCGGCTGGGGCACAGTTTTATCATTTACGTAGCTGAAACTAAAGTACATTGCGTTTATTAACGTTTATCGTAACGAACGAAAGCTGCGAGTTAAGTTTATAAAAAGGTTTTACAGGATTAAAAGCACATAACCATTAACCATTACGAGTGCTTGACTTGCAAATCCTTTGTGATATATATACAAATATATGTATATTACTAGCGGGTACACCCAGGCTTTGGTACGTATAAAATAAATAGACAAACACCCAAACCTCGTTTAAAATCGGATGAGATTTGACCGAGTTATGGGGGTGGGAAATGTTGACCTATGTCTATATAGGATAATTGAGGTACC